GAAGATGGTCTGTCATAACAGCAAAAAGTATCAGGCATCCCTTATCAGAGCAAAGGTTTTCTAATGGGCATTGAGAAATTAATATATCCTAAATCTGGTTTATTCTTTTACACCGTGTATAGTATATAATACTCAGCGATTGGTGTACGAAAATATCAAATCATTCAAAGCACAGTCATATACAGTAACTGATCTATTCCAGGACACAGTCACTGTATTGCTGATGTTTTTAATCTATTGCTTTCCTAAATTTGAGAGGGGTTGTTTTGTAAGAACTCAGTTTTAGAGCATTGCTAGTGTAACACTTGAAACTCTCTGCCATATGGGCAGGAACTTCATTTTTAAATACAATTAATTCCACACGAATATTAAATAATAGCACCTTTTTAAAGATAAGGTTCTTTTTAAGATAACTTCATTGGGAAAGATGGCAGGGCTGGTGAGAAATTTGCTGGCATTTGTTGTTAGTGTTTAGCTCTTCTCAAAACTTATGAACTAATAGGATGTGTTAAGATCAGCCAGTAAGCAATAACAGTTGAGGGAACTTTTGCACATTGAAGTACTTCTGAAATATATTCTTTTACAACCAGTAATTGATGGGAGCTACTGTAGAAAAATTACAAAAAAAATTATTGTTTAGATCCCTATGAAATTTAACAGATTTCACATCATGTTTGGTTAGCATAAACATGCAAGAACTTTTTTACCTTTCAGTAAATCAAGATAGTCATTAACTTGTATGTAAATAATTTGAGGTTCATAATGTGCTTTCATGTGAGATACCTTGTGAATTAAAAAAAAACGCTTATGAAATGCTTGAGAGTTTTTTAGAATATTTTTGGAGATAACAATTACCCACTTCTATAATAGGAAACACTTCGTGTTGATAGCTTAAGCAGTGGGAATTCAGCGGTGTTCCATGCACACAATGCCTTTGTCCTTTTCTGCTCCTAGCTGGCAAAATACCATAGCCTTCAGAAGTTTTTCCAGAATTTCCAGAATGATGTATCAGGAAGTTGAATATTTGCCGTTGAAAGAAAAAACAGGATAGTTTATCTTTCCTAATTTGCTTCCATGATGAAGGGTATTTGGGAATTAAGGTTGAATTATAAAAGTGTCTCATAAGAGTAAACCTTAACCTTAGATTTTAATAAGCGACTTTTCAAAAATATACTGGGAGCCACTCTTTTCGTATATGAGGGCAAATAAAGCATGGTTCTGACGTAACGACATTGAAAAACAGGTAATATTTGTCCTGATAAGCTGAATCTTCTTGAAAATGGTCGGATGCATTTTTGTAAGAAGAGATTCTAGTCTTCGGGGAACCTCGCTGAAAAAGTAGGCCTCCCGTAGTCATTTATAAACCACTTAAGTTACAGTTAAGCCTAATAATGAAATTATTTCCATTGCTCTACTCTTTTGAGGAATGTACATAAAATTAAAAATAGAAGGGGACTGTTAAATTCTCGAATTTGTTTGGAATAATACTTGGTGGTACAGGTTAGGATCAAATTTGCAGGTCTTGTTACCGGTATAATGTTTTTCCCAAGTTGTTCCTAGAGGTTTTGTTAAGCTCATTAAGACTTTACCAGTGATCTGATTACACTGGTTGGGGAAAATCAGAGTTCTATTCCACCACTATTTAAGTCTAATTTTAAAATATGGCTTACTATTATGCTTTTATTGGTAAATATTTTTAGCATAGTAGTTCATTCAAACATTATAGTACATATTTCGTCAACAAATATTTTTAGCTGAACTCTAGATGTACATTCTAGATAATTTTCATATCTGGCATTCCAATCTTAAAATACTTTCCACAACTTATTTATATTAATGCCAATAGTTTTCAGAAATGAGCTGCTCAGAATACATTGATAATTTCAATATTCAGACGTTTATATCCAGTTTATTAAATACCTCAGTAAAAAGGAATTTATTCATAATTTTTGCTTAGAAAGATGAAATCTAACTTTGCAAAGCAAACTGTAGACGAAAGATCTATTAGGCTGAGCACAAGAATTTGTATAACATGTTTTCCTTCTCTGGACAAGAATTTCTCAGATATGTGTCCCCCTTTGTAAAGTCTAGCGTATGTTTGTAAATAGGAGTTCACAAAAAAATATTTTCTTGATATTTGGTGTGTAAAGTAAAAACTATCTGTTGTGCAATTGATACAGCACTGTCAAAATGCAGTCTTCCTCAGAACCTTACTCTGTAAATGTGGAAACTTTCCAGTTTGTGAAATAGATGTCATTAGCTCACCAATAATTATTTATGGAAGCATGCTTAAAAAATGTATGTGTAACTTATTGTGGTCATGTAGTTGAAACCTTCATTTGTCAAAGTACGTACCTCCCAATTACTTTCCTAGTGTGTGGCATGGCCATTTTTTATCTCATTTTTGTATTGCAAATGCTTGAAATGACCTTATTGGTGAGAATGCATTCTGTACAGTAAACTTATTTTTGCCAGTAAACCAGGTTGGGTAGATGTTTCAACAGTTCCATTTGGAGACATGAAATCCTGTGTCTTGATATAGCTGTTATAACCACTGAAGAAAACCCCAAGAATATGTAATAACTATTGGTCAAATCCAGTCCTTTTTCTTGTTGAGCATAATCCTAATTCTTAATAATTAAGTTTTTCTATTGGATTGAACTGCAAGAAACTAATGCAAGCTGTTAGGAACCAGTGGAAGATAAAGGGATAAATCAAAGCCGATTACAGTTGATTTTCAATCTAAGTCAGTGTTTCTCAACCTTGACAATTTTAAGGCATGTGGACTTCAACTCCCAGAATTCCACAGCCAGCAAGATGCTGACTGTGGAATTCTGGGAGTTGAAGTCCACATGCCTTAAAATTGTCAAGGTTGAGAAACACTGATGAAGTATAGGTAGAAAAATTTGCATAACAGAAAAGTCCACAAAGGGACTATCAGATTCCTTCACTCATAATTGCATACAGCAGGGGTGTCAAACTGCCGGCCCGCGGGCCAGACGCATCATGAGGAAACTGCCCACCCCATTGCTAGCAATGGGGGAAAAGTTCCAATACGTCACACGACATCACATGACATTGTGAGTTTGACACGTCTGGCATACAGCTTTTCAAACAATGTAGCTCAGGGTTAAAATGAAGGGTCCTTGTTCTCTGGCTTGGGTTTTGTTTTGGTTTTTTGGGTTTTTTTGGCAGATGTTTCATTACTCAAACTAGGTAACGTGATCACTGATGATGTTACCTATTTGGCGTAATGAAACTGCAAGAAAACAACCGAGCTCAGAGAGCACCAAGGATCCCTAACTTACAGTTCCTGGTTAATTTACTCTTAACATTCCCAAATACCTTTTTGTGTGTAAATACCTTTTTGCTAGTGAACCCCTAATTAGCAATTCAGCAGCAGCAAAGGATATTGTTCTCACGAACATGTGTGCTTGTCTTTTTCTAAAGATAAGAAATCTCACAAGGTGGATTTCAACTTTTGCTTCTATTCACCTAGCACAGTGGTTCTCAGCCTCTGGGTCGGGACCCCATTTGGGGTCGAATGACCATTTCACGGGGGTCGCCAAACAACGCAGTCTGCCATTCCCCCCCCCTTTTCCTTAGCTGTGCTACTCCCTTTTATTCTATTGGCTTTTGAAAGCCAATAGAATAGACTCTCTTGAATAGAGTCTAATTCTATTGGCTTTCAAAAGCCAATAGGAATTGTCCAGGCTGTCTCTGCCCTGCTGAGCCCGCCAAAAGTCCCATTCTGCAAACGGTGCTGCACCAGTTGAGTAGTCCTTGACTTTGACCGGTTGGGGGTCACGGCATTAAAAAGGTTGAGAACCACTGGCCTAGCACCACCCTTCCCGAGCTCAAATGTTAACATAAAACCCTTACCTATAATTTTCCGGCCTCATGGAGCCTTCTTGAAATTCAGCAGCAAAAAATGCGGAGCAACCTAAGTCTTTCACCTTCACCTGTTGATAGAAGACCTTGAGATCCAGGGTTGGGCCTGTTGGTGAATCTTGTCTTGGCCACACCCTGGCCTTACGAAATTTAACCCTGAATCTTCTGTGATGTCTGGTTTATCAGTCAGGAAACACACTCAGAGCCTGGCTAGTTTGGTCTTCACATTCAAGGATCACCATTGGCTGTAGAAATGTTCTTGGAAGTTTGGTAAGAGGAGATGAAGTCTGGTTTTTGGGAGGCTAGGCAAGATAACCAGAACCATCTCTTGTACTTTACTACAAGCCTGCTTAGTGCACAAAGTAGAAAGAGCAGCACGCAGCGTGGTGACCATTGTAGGTGAATTAAGAAACCTGATGCCAGTTAGAGCCCATTTATACATTTGGTCCTACTATGGCAGTTATTCCTAAACAAAACCCAAATAAGTCAAATAATCACTTTATTTCTGTAGTTCCTTTGGAATATCAAGGTGGCTTTGAACACTTTGCTCTTTTTCTGGACTGGAAAATATTCAGACTCTTTAGATCGGGGGTCCCCAACTTTGGCAACTTTTAAGATTTGTGGATTTCAATTCCAGCTGGCTGGGGAATTCTGGGAGTTGAAGTCCACAAATCTTAAAAGTTGCTATGGTTGGGGATCCCTGCTTTAGATCAGTGGTTCTCAATCTTTTTAATGCCATGACCCCCAACCGGTCGTAAGTCGAGGATTACTCAACTGGTGCAGCACCGTTTGCAGAATGGGACTTTTGGCGGGCTCAGCAGGGCAGAGACAGCCTGGACAATTCCTATTGGCTTTTGAAAGCCAATAGAATTAGACTCTATTCAAGAGAGTCTATTCTATTGGCTTTCAAAAGCCAATAGAATAAAAGGGAGTAGCACAGCTAAGGAAAAGGGGGGGGGGGAAATGGCAGACTGCGTTGTTTGGCAACCTCCGTGAAATGGTCGTTCGACCCCAAATGGGGTCCCGACCCACAGGTTGAGAACCACTGCTTTAGATGAAAGGCAAGATAGGGATAGTATTGTGGGGAAAAAAAACCATTCCACTCTCACTTCCATTTTAAACTTAATGTTTATTATAAAAAGGGATTGGGTGACTGTTTTGTTGGTTGCATTGTCAATTACAGCACGTTAAAAACTCATAGCTAATTGATTCCTGAGTGTCATGCCCTCAGACGTGGCAATTCATCTCGGCACTAAAAAGTAGTCAGCAATATGAAACTGCTGGAGGCATGTGAAAATGTTTCACTTTTTCAACCTTAAAACGCAACTGACCTATGAACAGCTACTACAAATTGCAATTGTACACCCTTATCAAATCTACTGCCTCCTAACCCAACTTTCCTGCACTTAAAATTATTTCAGGTTTATACTTTTTGAAGGTCAAAACACAAGAGTGGCTTTAGAAGATCTTCAAAAACATCCAACCATTGCTGCCATCCGTTTGACTGTTTCAGACCGTAAAGCAGCAGAGAAACACAACTTTAGACAACCGGTTCTGAAAATTTACAGGTTTTTTTCAGAGCTATCTGATACCTGCAAAACAGCACAATCTGTTCTGCAGCCTCTTATCTGCAGCATATGTGGACACAAAGGGGTGAGTTAGCAAAGCAATAAATTGCTTCTTTTCTGCACCAAGAAAATAGAAGGCATATCACATTTCTCTTAAATGGGAGATATAACTGGTTTGGCTAGGCACTATTTTCTCACTTGAGAAGAAAATATCTTGGCTGGATGGAAAAATCATGCAGTTTGTGCCATTCAACCCATTTTAGACACTTATCTTCCAATTCCCGTTCCCAATTATGTGGAGTCCCAACATGAGGCAAATAGCCCAAGAAACAGCCAATGTAACAGTTTTAAAACAGAAAAAAGAGATGAGTAAACACTGCCTGTCTGCACTAGGGGGGAAAACATTTAAAGGCTACCATTAAATCTGTAAGCCTGGGGCTCCCTACACTGAATCAACTTATAAGAATAGCTTTTGCAAGGCGGGGGAGGAAAGTTTATCTGAGGGGAAAAAAATCAAGCTCCATACCTTCACAAAATTCAGGAACTTAGTTCCCCAGTTTAGAAACATCACAAAACCCCAATTAAAAAAGGGATTTCTCAATACATGTCCACGACCGAGCAGGCTCAGAATACAACTAACATCATTTACATGGAATTTTTTTTCCCCTCCATAATAAATTAAAAACGAACAGTTGTCTTGCCCTGGATCATTCCTTGTTCTCCAAAACTGCAGAAATAATCTCTGAATAGCTGTTCAGAATAGTCAAGGTAAAATAATTAGAAATTTGGGGTTTGGATTTGCATAACTAAGCTCAATTTGAAAAGAACCTGGTTCCCTAAGGCTGAATATAAACCACGGGAGATGAGAAAAGGCACGTTAAATCGTGATTTAAGACAATCTTGCTCCTTGTACAGCAAGTTGCCCAATGCCTTCTGCTTATTGTAAGAAATAAATTGACTTCATAGGCCCCGAAGTATCAAAGATGCTTCTACATACTATTTTTTTTATCTTTTAAAAATATTAGAAAAAAAAAATATTTGGGGGCTAACTAATTTTAAAGAAACAGCAGCCCAATCTGAAAACTACTGTTAAATCTCATTAGATACATTACATGCTGCTCCTTTCTTTAAAAAAAAATTCTCAATTTCAGAAATCATTCACTTTTCTAGCCTTTTTTTTTAAAGAGTTTTGTTAGAGGATTTGAGAAAATCCACCCCCTCTTCCATATTTCAAAGTCAAAATGTTTTGTTTGTCCCACACAGCTAGCAAACACAAGCCAAGAAAATTCAAATTTCAGTGCCGCTTGACAATTTTAACCTGTTGTTTACTAGCACTGATCATCCAACTTGTTTCAATACCTAAAAATACAAAGGCCACCATTAGTATTTCCCCCCCCCCCAACATTTTGCACATCCTGTTCAGAAGGTAAATTTCCCCTAAAAAGGGGGGTGGGTGCCTTTTTTGGACTGTTGAGGGTCCATGAATCTGAAATTACCATTTTCTGTCTTGAGGCTCCGAGGTTTTAAAGTTGCACACTCCGCTGATTCAGCTACCTTTCTATTCTACCCTTCCTGCCCCAATAACTTTACACATTTTTCTATCAAAGATTAAAATTACAGACAAAAAGTTCCTGGGCGCTTGAAAACAAAAACGAGTAGATTTGTCTTGGACAACTGTGGATTCTTCTCCAGTTCGGCGGACGTGGAAAAGGCCACTGAGAAAGTCCTTGGCTTCCGTGCCCCATCCCAAAGGACGCTTCTCAAAGTCTCCATCCGTGAATCAGTTTATAAAAGTAGCGGTGTTCTTTCACCTGCCGTCCGCTCTTTCTGAAAGACGTCCTTGATCTGGGACAGCTTATTATGGATCCTCTCTCTCAAGGGAGGGACGTGATGGCTAGGATCCAAGATGTTGGTGACTCTGCGCTCTCTCTCACGCTTCCACATCCGATACGGGTGTGGTGGGAAAGGAGCCTCGTGTCTTTCTCGGCGCAACTGAATGGTTATTCCTCCGATGGCTAGCATGCTCCAAACGGACAGGAGGATAATATCTACAAGATGAAGCCATACGGTTAGAATGTTTTCACCTCCCCTTTTCTTTCTGTCCAAAGGTCTATTTGTTTATTCGGGTTTACTTGAAGCCCTTAAAAATAGCTGAAGCTTTTTCAGTTCTGGATGAGAAGCGAAAGGTCTTCAAGAAAAAACAAAGAGAGTTCAGTTGCCTTTTGGAAAAAAAAAAAAACAACTACTTTGGGACAATTGTTTTGAAGGCTTCGAGGAAGTCTGAATTAACAAATAGACCCGGACTCTTCAAACTTGGCCCTTTGATGACTTATGGACTTCAACTCCCAGAATTCCTCAGCCAGCATGCCTGGCTGAGGAATTCTGGGGGTTGAAGTTCATAAGTGATAAAAGGGCCAAGTCTGAAGATCCCTGAAATAGACAAATAGACAACCATGACCTGGATGAGTGAGAATCTCCGTAGACTTCAAAACAGTTCAAGCATCCGTTATTTCCCCTCAACTTCCATTGGTTCTCCATGATCTTGAAAATGTTTTTAGAGAAAGAGGTGCCCTAGACGTGCTGCAGATGCTCTTATTGGTGAGGTTGACCCACCAAGCACCCAACTTCACCCACCTCTGTGGTGGCGCAGTGGTCAGAATGCAATACTGCAGGCTACTTCTGCTGACTGCCGGCTGCTGGCAGTTCGATCCTGACCGGCTCAAGGTTGACCCCCTTCCATCCTTCCGAGATCGGTAAAATGAGGACCCAGATTGTTGGGGGCAACATGTGAAGGGCTGTGAAGCAGTATATAAGTCTAAGTGCTATTGCTATCTCAAAACTTACCATTAGGTTGGAAGGGCACACTGGTGTAAGTGCGCTTGAAGTCTTCGTTCAGAATCCTCCAGAGTAGATCTATGCCAATGTAAGAGAGGCTGGTGTAGATGTAACATGCTGTAGCCAACACTACCGTGTAAGAACCGACAAAGCCGCATGTCAAGATGTTGAGCTAAGAGGAAGAACATAACATGCCTTTAGGATTGGCGACAGTACTCTATGGAAGGAAAGCCATTCCAAGTATGTCCTGTTATGCTGCAACGGTTGTAAATGTGAAAAATGATCATAAGTCGCTTTTTTCAGTGCCGTTGTTAACTTTGAACGGTCACTAAATGAACTGTTGTAAGCTGAGGACTGCCTGAAATTTGGTGGGTCTCTCATATATCTCAGATATACAGTAGTGGCCAAAATTGTGGAAACCTTTTGGGGAAAGTGTATTTTTGAGGTTGGATGGCTAATAACACCACTTTCTTTTGGAGTAGTACCATAAAATTATATATCAATGGAAAGATAATTTAATCAAGAATGTAATGCAACATAGTTTGTTCAATTATCTGTACTGTATTCTACGAAACGTGATAACCAAATAACCAGAAAAAGGAAGCACAACTTGCTCAGGTTGATATCAGGTAGCTTTCCTCCATCTGATTGTAGCCAACGAGCATGAGTGTTTGGAGAGCCAATTGGGTGTCATCTTCCTTTGGCAATGAGCCAATCAGATCACATGAGGATTCAGTTATTGATGTCCTGTATTGAAGCTGAGGGGAGGACATTTGTCAGTGTGTTATGTGATGGCTATCAAGTCGGTTGGGGTTTTTTGTGTTCTTTCATTTAGTGAGCTTGGAAAACGTAGTAAAATTAAAGTCATGGTGCAAAGACTTGACCGGTCACCCAGAAAGCGATGTAAAATAGTATTATTAAGTGAACAAGGCTACAGTTATAAAGAAATGCGAAGAAAAATGGGTGGAAACTTAACCAAAGGTGGCATTTCTACTGTACACTTTTCCCACCCAAAAGGTTTCCACAATTTTGGCCACTACTGTGTATATATATATTTCCCCATTGGGGACAACAATAGACCAACCACAGCCATCCTCACATCTTGACTATAGCATTCCTGGAGGATGGCCTTTTTATGAAAAGTTAACGGCCAGAGTTGTAAATCACAAGGCCGAACTTTGCTGAAGATAATTCAGTTGTGGCATCTGCTTCCCCTCCCAGCCTAGGAAAATTGAAATTCATGTTCAGCTGCAAGAAATACTTACAACTCTGAGGCAGCAGACAAAAATTACTGGAATCACCAAGGCGACACAACAGAAAGAGACCCAGTAAACAGCATCGTCTTGAAAAATTTTGTAGTCTCCTGGAACAATAAACACAGAATTGTGACACAGCTTCTTGCCTCTGTCCACAACTGCCACTTTGTCAAATTCTAACAGGAAGATCAACCTAGGAAGTTTCCTCCCTAAAGACTTGTTTGTTTGTTTGTGTGTGTATGTGTGTGTGTTAGAAATTTCATAATTTTGCTTCAAAGACAGCTGACTTGCACTTAAAAAATGACTCAGGAGTAGAGATTTTGGCAGAATTTCCATCGCTAAGCAAAGGGATTGTTAAATGACTCACGCCCCAATTTTACAATCTTTTTAACATAGCTAAGGAAATCATTGCGGTCATTAAGCGATGGAACCAAATTTTGATCACATGCTGCAACAGTCATAAGTGCGAGGACTGCTTGTAAGTTACTTTTTCAGTGCCACGCAGTGTGTAAAACAACTCAAATTTGCAAGCCTGGAAAATTATATATAATACAACAGAGTAAATTATTTCATCTTATTTTCAATGCGCCATTTATGTACAAACATTAAATAACAAAGATACAGGCAGTCCTCGACTTAACGATCACAATTGAGCCCAAAATTTCTGTTGCTAAGTGAGACATTTTTTAAGTGAGCTTTGCCCCATTTGATGACCTTTCTTGCCACAGTTGTTAAGCGAATCACTGCAGTTAGTATCACGGTCGTTAAATGAATCGGGTTTCCCCACTGACTTTGCTTGTCAGGTCACAAAAGGGGGTTACATGACCCCCAGGAGACTGCGATCGTCACAAATGTGAACCAGTTGCCAAGCAACTGAATTCTGATCACATGATCATGGGGATACTGCAAAGTTATGGAAATGGTCATAACTCACTTTTTTTGTAACTTTGAACGGTCGCTAAATGAACTGCTGTAAGTTGAGGACTACCTGTATTAGGTCAGTTTTCTTTTTAGCCTATTCTAGGTTATAACTAGCTTTTCCATTTTCTTTTAGCCTATTCTAGGTTTTAACTAGTTCTTTCATTTTATTTTTGCCTAGTCTGGGTTATAAGTAGTTCTTCCATTTTCTTTTTGCCTATTCTAGGTTATAACTAATTCTTATTCTAGGTTATAACTAGTTCTTCCATTTTCTTTTAGCCTATTCTAGGTTATAACTAGTTCATTTTTTTTAAAAAAACAGATTTCTCTCTAATTAGATACATTTTATACAAGTGTTTAACTACTACCATTACAAATAGAACTTTTTTTAAAAAAAAAATTGCAAGTTATTTTAAAGCATGAGGTCTGTTCATGGGCCACTATCATTATATGGATGCCTTGGCAATTTGTTTCTCAATAAAGAATGCTTCTTAGATGTTCAAATTTAAGTGAGTATCGCAGAAATGTTTCTATCGCTTACCTACTGGAGTGAAGAAAAATGAAGAGGACACAAGAAACCCCAGCACTACTCCTACAATTAGCATACACGGGATCACAAGACCAAATAGCCACCAATTTCCTACTAAGAGGAGGCCTCCAATGATACCGGCTGTTGCAGTAAGACCAAGAGTGGCTGGAAAAACAAGGGGTTGGGATGAAGGAGGAGAAGAGGAGGAAGAGGAAAGATTAGAGCGGTAGGAATAAGTATTCCACTATACCTCGTCTTTGCAAGATTACTCATTATTTACTTTTAAGATATTTCCTCATTTTCACCACAAGGGAAGCAGACCTATCTGGCCCTTCAAAAACTGACATGAGTGCTTCCCAGAGCTTGACTTTTAGTAACCAGACTCACCATGAGAAGCCATGCGGTGGATTTGAATTTCCACCGTTCTTAGCAATGACCGTGCTGGTGGAGAATTCTGGGAGTTGATGTCCATACAGTACATCTCTAAACATTTTATAGAAACCACGGTTGAATATCGAAGAATAGAATAGAGCTGGAAGGGACCTTGGAAGTCTTCTAGTCCAACCCCCTGCTCAGGCAGGAAACCCTATATATAGTAGGCAACCTTGGCTCTTTTGTGACTCGTGGACTTCAACTCCCAGAATTCCTGAGCCAGCCACGCTGAGGGGAAAGGGAGAGGTTTCCAAGCTGAGCTATGCTGGCTCAGGAATTCTGGGAGTTGAAGTCCACGAGTCATAAAAGAGCCAAGGTTGCCTATCCCTGCCCTATACCATATGGCTGTCCAATCCCTTCTTTAAAATATTGGATTGAATTATGATAAAGACTTTTCTTGCAACACCTTTATAGGCTGAGTTGCAATTTATATGCAAAACTACCAACCTACTACCTCTTGATTGCTGATATCAATTTTTCCTTCTGTGTGTTTCCCAGCCTCTCCCCCTTCTCTCACACCAGTGGTTGCTTAATTTGGCCGAAGGAATGAGAAATGTCATGTCAGAATCAGGGTGAATCTGGTTCAAGTCCACCCTCGCTCATGAAACACCAATCTCTGTTCCAATGTGGAGCTTCCAACAGCTTTTGCAGGCCACAAATATAACCATATAAAATTTCAAGATCCAATCTGGGTCGGTCACTGGGACCAGAGGTTTCGTCTTCCAAGCTTTCGGATTCCTGCTGGAGCCCATCCTGAGGTAATTTCTCTCTAGGAGGGTCCGTGCTTTGGGCTGTTCTGGGTGTGGTATTTATGTGGTGCCTCTTGTGTGTGGCTTTTTAGATGTTGATTGGGGTGTTGATGGCTGGATATTAAGTCGTTAATGTGTTAATCCACACCTCAGCCAACAGCTAAAAGGCCATACACAACAGGCACAATATAAATACCACAGGAGAATAGCCCAAAGCACATATTCCAGTAGAGAAAACTTCCCTCAGGATGGACTCCAGTACATCCAAAAGCTCAGAAGACAAAACGTTTCTTCCGGGTGACCGACCCAGATTGGATCCTGCAACATTATCCTGGGACACGTAGATTCGCCTTCCTATAAAATTTCAACTCACCATCATAGCTGAGAGCAGATGTTTTTGTAATGACAATGTAGAAGAAGAAAGCCGTGAAGATAAAGCCACTAAAGAATAAACCTGAGGTGGAGGAGGAGAAAAATAAAAATTAAAAAAAAAAATTAAAACAAGTCTTTTTTCTCTCTCTCCAGAATGTTAGGATATACAGGTACAAATAGTCTTCAGCTTATGACAGCAATTGACCCCAAAATTTCTGTTGCTAAGCTACAATCTTTTTAAAAAGCTCCTCTTCTCTTCTCAAAAAAGCATTTGCTTTTTTTTGCTCTCTCATCACAACAGTTGCATCTCTCGCCTTTGCTCAGCTTTTCCCCAAAATTGTAACCGCACTTTGCCCTTATATTTTTATATTTTTATTATGCTTTTATATTTATATCTTTTTTTACAGATGAATATTGTATTGGTTCTTAGTTGTAAACGGCCCAGAATTGAACAGGAGATGAAAGGGCGATTAAACAATTAAACCCACACAGTGAGCGATGGCAAAACACAGTTCCTGAGCAAATGTCCACTACAAGACAGGAGGTGACACGCTTAGAAAACAGGAGTGCCAAAAATGGACACTAACCAGGGGGGTATCTTGAGAAGGTCTCACTCTACAGATATAAAGGCCCACACACAAGTTCACAATGCACAAGGTGTGGCACTGGCATCTTATATCTCTTTATGTCTTATCTCACTGGATAGACTGACAATCTTGATCAAGCTGGGTAGAACTGGGGCTCCAAATTTGAAGGACCATAGAATTCTTAATCCCATTGGAAAAGGATCTTCTCTCCATGACAATAATGAAATGTTTTTTTCTGGATTAAATTGAGAAGAATATTTTTTTTGTTCAAAACAATAAACTAGACTCCAGATCCTAGACTTCTTATCAATCCAAGGATTCCATAGGACTGACACCGGGCAAGATCAACCCTGATTGGAAAGGTCTACCCCAGAATCAAGCACACCTTAAAAATACCTGTTTGCCAGAATCTGTGTCCGAAGAAACAGATAAAGAGACCAAGAAGACCCAACGTGGTGAAAAAGATTTTAGTGGACAACCTTCCTATAAATAGAGAAGAGAATTAGGATTAAGCTATGGTTTATTATTGTGTTCTCTCATCAACAAATATGGCTTCACCGCCTTAGCTAGGGGAAGACTCTCCAGAGGGTGGGTTATAGAAGGATTAAATTAAGGGGTGTCCAACCTTGGCCATTTTAAGACTTGTGGACTTCAACTCCCAAAATTCCTCAGCCAGGATGGCTAGCAGAGGAATTCTGGGAGTTGAAGTAAGTCCACAGGTCCTAAAATTGTCACCCCTTTAAGTTCTTTTTTCTAGATTAACAGAAGATAACTTGGAGAAACAAATGACTCCATGTTGTTAAATCCAATATGGTCAAAACATTGGAATGGTGATTGCGATGATGTGGCCTAAGCTCCAGCTGTTTTTTATATATACAGAACTTCTATTACACCACTGTGGCTGCCATCTTGACTATTTTCACCATAACCAATGTGCAATACTGCCCAAGAAATCTACCTAAATTTAACTCTACCATCCTCCACAATTACTGGCTGCTATTAACTTCAAGGATGTCTTCCTAATATTCTAAGGAAGTTTAATAAAATTCATCCAACACAACTTTTAACGTCCTCTTGATAATTCCTCTGGTTTATTCCTCTGATAATTCTTCTCAGCTATATTCTCAAAATATAAAGATGGATGTTAAATTATGGAGGATACAGACAGTCCTCAATCATTTGTTAGTGACCGTTTGGCGTTACAATGGCTTTACACATGGCTGAAAACCCCGCCCATTTTAAACTTCCATCAAAAGACATGCAAAAAAAAAAGGGTTTTCACGTCATGGTGGCGGCTGCCATTTTGACATTTTTGGCCACCTGTTGATCCCTCTACACAACCATGGATGCTCCGTTGACTTACTAAAGGTGTAGCAGTTATTCACCAAGGCAGAGAAGCTACAGGCATATGTGTGAACAGGCACATATGCAGCTGAAGTGTTCAACTTAGGATCTCTCACAATGACATTGTAGATCACGCCTTGTCCAGGAAGTGAAGAGAAGTACAGCTCAGTTTTATCTTGACTGGTTAACGTCATCATCTGTGAGGACATAAAAAATAGATGGTGCGTAAAGAAAAAAATCGGGTCACAGATCCCATCTCTCTATCTCTATCTCTATCTATCTACATCTATCCACCCATCTATCCACCTATCTATCTATCTGTCTATCTACCTACCTACCCACCCACCTATCTACCCACCTATCCATCCATCCATCCATCCATCCATCTACCCACCTATCCATCCATCTAACCCAGTGGTTCTCAACCTGTGGGTCGGGACCCCATTTGGGGTCGAATGACCATTTCACAGGGGTCGCCAAACAAGGCTGTCCGCCATTTTTCCCCCTTTTCTTTGGCCACGCCCCTGGCACCCGGTGATGTATAAGTGGTTGGGGGTCACCACAACATGGGGAACTGTATTATGGGGTTGCGGCATTAGAAAGGTTGAGAACCACTGATCTAACCTATTTACCTATCTATCTATCTATCTACCTGCCTACCTACCTACCTACCCACCTATCCATTCATCCATCCAACCACCTATCTACCCATCTACCTATCTACCCACCTATCCACCCACCTATCCATCCATCCATCCACCTACCCACCTATCTACCCACCTATCCATCCATCCATCTACTCACCTATCTACCTACCTCTCTACCTACCTACCTCTCTATCTACCTACCTCTATCTATCTATCTGCCTATCTACCCGCCTATCTACCCATCTACCTACCTACCTACCTATCTATCTATCATGACAAACAGACCTAAAGATTCCCACTGGAAGAAAACCATTCAAGTTTCCAAGAGATCTGTTCTGCATTTAAGTTAGTCATATGCCAGAGTACCCAAAATACCACTCCATCTGCAGTGAAAAACAGCGTTGACTTACTTTAGATCCATGAGCCCGGATACTTTGAGCTTCAGACATTCTTTTCATGTGACTCACAAACGTGGCTTCAGATAAATCGTTCTCAGGGAGAAAATACTGATAGACATCATAATAGAGTCTCCACCTGGTATCCAGACCTGTTCCCAAATCACATGGTGGTGGGTTTGAGCCTCTGGATAACAGAAGGAAATTAGAGTAGGTTCAGATGGGAACCACACCTTCGCGCCATGCCTCCAGAGTCTTTAAGATCTTTTGTTCCTCTCTACCCAATCACGTAAAAGAGTAATTTCAAACAGAGAAAGAAACTTATGGATCTCAAGAGCATTTCAGCAGCTGATGGCAACTGCCTGACTTTCCTTGACCTCAAAATATTCATCAGAGTGAAACCTGGTTAGAACTTGGACCAGAGATTATGAGAAAATACCACTGGCATGGATAAGATAGTAAAAAATATATATATCCCAGAAAAAGACAATGGGAAACCACTTCCGAACCATTGCAAAACATTACATGGATATATATGTCAATGAGTTATCATGTGCTACCTCAATTTGAGGGACAATTTTAACCATGTTGTAATACAAATGCAGCAACTTCAAGTAGCAGACCTAAGCCCACAAAATGCTGAGAAGTCTAATTCAGCCACACTTGGAAAACCCACAGGTTTACACCTTGGATAATTGATCTGTAAGTTGTTGCTACACCTTGTGTAATTAAGTTGCATGTTGATGCTGCAAGCATAGTGAAATTAACTGGGAAATAATGACTCTTTCTGGCTTAATGGTGACAAATCTTTTAGTATTTGAAGAAGGAGTGCTGAGAAGAGCAACTGTTCTTGCTGATGATTAAGAGACTGAAAGATAAAACATTTGTAGGAAATGAATTATGTCTCTAGTCTAATGAAAAGAAGAACTAAAATCATCACAAAATGCAAGAATATAATACTACAGTAAGTCCTCAGCTTATGATCACAACGGGGACCAGAGTTCCATTGCTAAGCAAGGCAGTTGTGCTAAGTGTGTCACATTTCTTGTCATGGTTGTTAAGTGAACCCCCATGATTGTTAATCGCATCTGACTTCTCTTGTGGATTTTGCTGGTTGGAAAGTCACAAATAAAGACCATGTGAACCTGAGATGCATGCAGCAACTGTCCTAAACACTGAATGGTGTAGGACTTATTTTCAGGGAAACACGGTACCATGTCTTAAGATGGACCTCAACCATCACCCACAATCTTGCTCTGAACTCTTATATATTGCACCAAAGAACAACAGCCAAGTGTACCTACCTTGCGTACCCCAGATTTGCTGGAGCAAATTTAATGTGTGTCTCAGCCACGTTATATTCTAGATAAAGGTTGGGGTCCGTTTCCAAATCAAATTCCAAGTTGCATCCACCGGGTATTGGATCTAGGCAGAATAAAAAAAAAAAAGGAGGGGGGAATCAAGCAACAGGAGTAAGGAAGGAGTATGCCAGATCTTGAAAATGAAACATTTTATCTACTGCTTTTGATAATAATATATTATCTTTGATAATCTTTGATAATAAGATAATAATACAACTGAGTTGTTTTCAGCCCAGGCTGAAATACAATATACAACTGTATATACAAATGTATATAGCTATCAGTTGGACAGCTACAGGCTTGTGCTCCTTCACTTACAATTCATTTAGTGACCATTCAGAGTTTAAAAAAAGGACTTATGACCGACTTTCACACTTACGACTGCTGCAGCACCCCCATCAAAATTCGAATGCTTGGCAACTGACTCATATTTATGACGGATGCAGTGTCCCGGCGTTGTTGATCCCCTTTTGGAACCTTCTGACAAGCAAACTCAATGGGGAAGCCGGATTCACTTAACAACCGTGCCACTAACTTAACAACAAGGGTGATTCACTCAACAACTGTAGCAAGAAAGGTTGTAAAATGGGGCAAAATTCACTTAACAACTGTCTCGCTTAGCAACAGAAATTTTGGGCTCAGTTGTGTAGATAGATGGATGACAGAGATGATAGACAGATATTGATACTGTAGATCAGTGGTTCTCAACCTGAGAGTCGGGACCCCATTTGGGGTCGAACGACCATTTTACGGGGTTCGCCAAACAACGCAGTCCGCCATTTTTTTTCCCCTTTTCCTTAGCTGTGCTACTCCCTTTTATTCTATTGGCTTTTAAAAGCCAATAGAATAAACTCTCTTGAATAGAGTCTAATTCTATTGGCTTTCAAAAGCCAATAGGAATTGTCCAGGCTGTCTCTGCCCTGCTGAGCCCGCCAAAAGTCCCATTCTGCAAACGGTGCTGCACCAGTTGAGTAGTCCTCGACTTACGACCGGTTGAGTAGGCCTCGACTTACGACCGGTTGGGAGTCGCGGCATTAAAAAGGTTGAGAACCACTGCTGTAGATGATAGGTAGGTAGGTAGGTAGGTAAGTTGGTAGGTATATTAGATAGATAGATAGATAGATAGATAGATAGATAGATAGATAGATAGATAGATAGATAGATAGATAGATAGATAGATAGATAGATAGATAGATAGATAGATAGATAGATAGATGAAGCAATATTCCATTTAATTTGAACCTCAGTAAGACCAAACTTACCTTTTTCGGTGTATGGTAAAGAAACAGCTGTGCTCAACACCTGATTCGAACCCACAGCTCGCAAATACCAGGTGCACACAGTTTGTTCAGGTCGAAGCACCGAAATTAATCCTTTGTCTATTCCAGTTCCTGAGTTGCTAGGAAAAGGTTCCTGAGAAATGATATAAATTATTGTGCATTTCTAGAAACGAATATTTTCGTTCAATTTTCTTCTGTTGTTATCTTGTTAATAGCCCACTTTTCAAGCTAACCCTACTTCCTAGGCAGCTTATAAACTGATAAACAATTCTAATTAAAAACAGTAGTAAAGAATGGCTAATCAACTTGCAGGAATATACTTTAGGGTCCAGAATACCTTCACCTCCAAAAAGTAAATTTGATGTAGAATTCAATGCAACTGGAAACCACTGCTGGATTGTAATTTAATATGGGAATTTATAATCCACCCTAAATTTGAGCTTCTCAACATATAGTTCAAAATTTCTATTTCACAGGAAATTAAATTATGAGCATTGATCTAATTTATTATAGCTAATAATATTTAGTGATTTATTCTGTGCTAACTAACTATCCTTAATATTTAATAATGATATTTAAATTAGTAAACCACATTCTCACCTACACTGGCAGGGTATATAAACAGAGAGCTAACCCCACTCTCTTCTAGCCCTGATGATGTTACCTAGTTGGGTAATGTAATGTCTGCAAGAAAGCAGCGAAAGTTCAGATAGCACCAAGGACCCGTAGTAGTAGTTGTTGTTGTTCTTCTTCTTCTTCTTCTTCTTCTTCTTCTTCTTCTTCTTCTTCTTCTTCTTCTTCTTCTTCTTCTTCTTCTTCTTCCTCTTCCTCTTCCTCTTCCTCTTCTTCCTCTTCTTCCTCTTCCTCTTCCTCTTCCTCTTCTTCTTCTTCTTCTTCTTCTTCTTCCTTCTCCTCCTCCCCCTCCTCCTCCTCCTCCTCCTCCCTCCTTTCTTCTTCTCCTCCCAAACTCCCTCCCTTATAGCACTGATGATGTTGCTTAGTTTGGTAATGAAACATCCGCAAGTTCAGAGAGCACCAAAGACCCCACAGTTGAACCCTGAACTACAAATCTTCTCTTCTATTAGATTCACTCTTTTCGTTCTTTTAACTTCAGGGAGAAATCAACACACAACCCAGCACACCCCACTAGGGACCCCCTGCATGGAATCTTACTAATTTTGACAACCATTCTAATGGGTCATTCCAAATACAAGCAGACCAGATATTAGTATGATACCCAGAGCAGAGAAAAACAGTGCTCTCACGCAAGGCGCTCAGACTAAGAACCAGCTATTGATGTGAAGAACTTGCATCACTGGAAACCAATTTTTTTAAAAAAAAAAAAACAAAAACAAAAACATCACAGTGCTTTTTGCTGAATATCCAAACATTTCTGTGTCTACATCAGAGGTTCCCAACCCCCGGTCTGTGGACCGGTACTGGGCCGCGGCATGCCAGCAACCGGTCCACACAAACAAGCAAAGTCCCATCCGTGGGATGTGGGCAGCAAACAGAACCACACACTCTCCGGTCCGTGGAAAAACCTCTCTCCACGGAACCGGTCCCTGGTGCCCTAAAAGTTGGGAAACCTCTGTTCTACATGACTGTTGGAAAATGGGACTTGCAATACCTTGTCGAAGGAAATGGTCACATTTTGGTGGTGGGTGTGCATCTGAAAGAGGATGACAGTCACGTTGCCGGCGATGTTCTTCAGGACAGCTTCAGCTGGGACACTTTCATTCAACAAGAAATTCCTGAACGTCCCCAAGGACAATTCAAGGAGAAGGCCTGCTGTAAAAGGGAAAACACGCTCCTGAGGACGGATTGCCACTTAAGTTCAGCCCAAGTCATCTAGAGCAGGGCTTTTCAACTTTTTCACCCATTGTGCCACTTTTAGGATATGGCAACATCCGAGGACCACCAGTCGCCTAGCAAGGTGTCCAAAACTTGATCACCCAAAAAAAAAAGGGAAAAAGTGATAAAGTACAGGTAGTCCTCGACTTACAACAGTTCGCTTAGTGACTGTTCGAAGTTACAGTGGCACTGAAAAAAGTGCCCCCCAAGCCACAGCTGAGCAAGACACCTGCCTGCCCACCCAGTGGCACTCTTCCTCCTGTCCGAGGTTTTCATTGTTGTGAGCAGCGGAGGTGGGGTGGGGGGTGTTTGGTTTTTATTCCCCCCCCCCTCTACTGGCTGGTTGCAGCAGGTTTTGGTCACTTCAAATGACCCTGGGACACTGTGACCATCATAAATATGAATCAGTTGCCAAGCATCTCAATGTAAATCACAAGACCCTGGAGATGCTGCAACATTCCAGCTGATCAGCGCTTCTTCTGGGCTCAGCAGAAGCATCAGGATCAGTGCTGCTTTCCAGCTGATTGGTGCTTCTTCTGGGCTCAGCAGAAGCACAAGGATCAGCGCTGAGCTCCAGCCGGATCCTGGCGCTGATCCTGGCACTTCCGCTGAGCCGTGACAGCCCCGAAGAAGCGCCGATCAGCTGGAAAGTGGCACTGATCCTGGGGCTTCCGCTGAGCCCTGACAGCCCTGCAGCTCCAGCCATCTCTCGCTCAGGCTTGTGCGGTGCTGCCACCAGTTCAACTCATTCCCCTCCCCTGCTACCACTTTTCTAGGATGGTCGCATACCACCTGCCAGATGCCAATGTACCACAGGTGGTACCCGTACCACTGGTTGAAAAGCCCTGGTCTAGACTCCATACAACTACAATCTTTTCTGACCCTGACTGAAGTACTGTAAGTGAACAATTTATGGAGGGTGGAGACCAAGTCGAAGCTAGATGACGGCAAACAAATTTAATAGTGAATAAATTAAAAAGTAAAACACTAGCCTCTTTAATTCTAGTTCAACACTTAAGCCTCTGGCCTGCAGCTAAGAAAAGTAAAGCTTGCTTAGCTCTGGAAGCGAGTTATGAATTTATGATATTAAAAATGACTTTTTCCTTAGGTGGAAAGCCACATCTAAAGCCCAGAAATCTAGCAGGTTCGTTTGGATTATCAAAATCCCAAGTTCCATCTATTCTCCAGGCAACTGACTTAGCCTAAAACACTGAATTTGGGTGAGGAAGAATCTGTTCATCCAAATAAAAATAAAAACTCTGCCCTGGCCCATCGTGGACAAAGTGGGGTTTTCTCTACAGCGGTGGTTCTCAACCTGTGGGTCGGGACCCCATTTGGGGTCGAACACCATTTCACGGGGGTTGCCAAACAATGCAGTCTGCCATTCCCCCCCCCCCTTTTCCTTAGCTGGGCTACTCCCTTTTATTCTATTGGCTTTTGAAAGCCAATAGAATAGACTCTCTTGAATAGAGTCTAATTCTATTGGCTTTCAAAGCCAATAGGAATTGTCCAGGCTGTCTCTGCCCTGCTGAGCCCGCCAAAAGTCCCATTCTGCAAACGGTGCTGCACCAGTTGAGTAGTCCTCGACTTACGACCGGTTGGGGGTTGTGGCATTAAAAAGGCTGAGAACCACTGCTCTACAGCTTTCTTTAAAAAAAGGCTCATTTGTATTGTTGTCTCTAGGATTGTATCTTTGACTAAGAAAGGAGAAGAAATGCTTGGATAATACGTGTGACAGCTTGGGAAAAAAATGAAAAGAATTTCAAGTTTAGCTGGATTTAGCTAGAACATTTCCACAACAAATAAGGGCAAATCCTAATTAAGAGATCTTCGCAGTTGCCGCCCTTCTGCATGACGGCCAATTGTGTCACTAGTGGTTGCATCAGAAGATTGATGAAGAGGAATTGACAGCGGTGTGGTGTATCTCTTTCCTTTAGATTTACGACACAGAGAATTTCATTTTCCCCAGGACTGATCGAGTTTGTAATCCAGAATTGAGCATCTATTTTAGCCACCACAGCATTATACTTCCTGCAACGGTCATAAGTGTGAACACCGCTTTGTAAGTCACTTTTTTCAGTGCCGTTGTAACTCTGAATAATCACTAAGGGAATGGTTGTTAGTTAAGGACTACCGATACAACAAGCTTGCTTGCCTTTATCTTTTGAATCCTCATTCTGGGTATCAACAAGATATCGCTAGGGCATTTACACACACACAGCACAAACTCCCAAGCTGTATTATGAGGTAGACAAAAATTCCGTCATCATAACAAACCTTTACCTCAGTTGTTCTTCATTTATAACCTTTTAACATATCCTCCAAGACCAGGCTACCAACACTAGACATGTTAGCCTTTTCGTATAAGTGCCTCAAAAATCTACAGACAAATCCTCAGCTTACAATTCATTTAGTGGCCGTTCAAAGTTACAACGGCACTGATAAAAGTGACTTAGGACCGTTTTTCACACTTATGACCGTTGCAGCATCCCCAGGGTCATGTGATCAAATTTCAGACGCTTGGCAACTGACTCATATTTATGACGGTTGGAGCGTCCCGGGATCACGAGATCCCTTTTGCGACCTTCTGACCAGCCAAATCAATGGGGAAGCCAGATTGATTTAACAACCCGGTTACTAAGTGTAACTTAGTGTACTGTAACTGTACTACTAACTGTAGTGATTCACTTAACAACAGTGTCAAGAAAGGTTGGGAAATGGGGCAAAATTCACTTAACAAATGTTTCACTTAGCAACAGAAATTTTGGGCTCAATTGTGGTCATATGTCAAGGACTGCCTGTATTTCAGGATCTCAAGGACTCCAGTGTCTATGCGCTGTCCTTCCACTAGAATTCAGGGATAGGCAACCTTGGCTCTTTTATGACTCGAGGACTTCAACTCCCAGAATTCCTGAGCCGGCATGGCTCAGCTTGGAAACTCTCTCTTTCCCCTCAGCATGGCTGGCTCAGGAATTCTGGGAATTAAAGTCCACGAGTCATAAAAGAGCCAAGGTTGCCTACTCCTGCACTAGATATTCAAATCCAGAGAGACAAGCTCTTTTAACCTTCCAACTCTCCTTCAAGTTGTGTAATATACGGTAAGAACACCCAGTCCTTAGTCAACCAGTTAAGAAACTTGCTAAGCGTTTTAATAGAGAGAGAAGCTTCTGATGGATATCCCCATCCACAATTTATTCAGTACAGTAACAGAGATCGCAGCATTTTTGCAATTAGGACTTTAAGAAAAAAAATTACTTTAATAATAAATTTTGGTTTTCTTGGATGGCGCAAGCACAGACGTGCAATTTGATGGTGCAACAGGTCAAACTGGGTGGACCACTGATTCAGGTCCTGTGTACACAAGACCTACAAAGTACACAGCCTCAGAGTGAGCCACGGTGATCCTTGAGTTTCTGAACTAACTCGCCCATCCTCCTGCTGTCCAATTTGGAAGAAAAAAAATGAGAATGTTTCTTCTGTCTCTGATTAACTGCCCAGGTAAATTTAATTACACTGATGATAAACAGTGTCTGAAAGCATCCTAGTGCAAACCATAGCCTGTGTTAATCAGACTGGAGCAGGGGTAGGCAACCTTGGCTCTTTTATGACTCGTGGACTTCAACTCCCAGAATTCCTGAGCCAGCATGGCTCAGCTTGGAAACCTCTCCCTTTCCCCTCAGTGTGGCTGGCTCAGGAATTCTGGGAGTTGGTCCATGAGTCATAAAAGAGCCAAGGTTGCCTACGTCTGGCCTAGGCCTAGGCCGCTTTGTGACTCGTGGACTTCAGCTCCCAGAATTCCTGAGCCAGTCACACTGAGGGGAAAGGGAGAGGTTTCCAAGCTGAGCCATGCTGGCTCAGGAATTCTGGGAGTTGAAGTCCACGAGTCATAAAGCGGCTTAGGCCTAGGCCAGAGATAGGCAACCTTGGCTCTTTTATGACAAATGGGTGTGGAGCCATCCTGGCTGCAGGATGTTTTCCTCCACACCCAATCCTTCCATTCCCCATCATCCCGTCAGAGCTGAAGAAGTTTCTTGGATGAGAAGTGAAACGTCTTCAAGGAAAAACAAGAAAGTCCAGTTGCCTCGTGACAATGTTGACCTGGATAACTGAGAATCTCCATAGACATACTCCATAAAGAGCTTCTGCCCCGGAGATAAATTTCTTGAGGGTCCAATCATATTTGGCCAATGAAGAATATTCCTACATTCCTTAGAATGGCTCTTCTTGTACTTTGCCTGTTCTTCTGGTTTTTCACAGCACGTAATGTCCCAAACAGTGAACTTTGTGCACTTCAGCAAGGAAAACCAGGAAGATTGGCAGAACTAATTGGAACAGATAATTAAATTGCAGGCCTAAGAAACGTCTCATGCTTAACCATCAACGCCCTCAGCAAAAAGAATGCAGTTGTTCATTTGCTGACAAAGAACAAGCTTCACTGTTTTACCAAAACCCATGACTAAAACACAAGGACACATGATCAATTCTTTCATGGCCTACAATTCCCATGACTGCTTCGTTTCCTCTGGAAGCAAGCTCACTTGGGAAGGCGGACCCCACTCATGCCTGCATCTTGGTCCAGCGTTTTTTCCAGCCTTCAGGGCTTTGTCATTTTAACAATGACTCTACCCAACATCCAACACAATTTTTTTCTGTTCCGTCTTGTAGCAGAAGGTGTTTTATTTCCCCCCCACACACACACACACTCTCCTATATCACCAGTGATGAAATGTTTTAAGTTTATTCAGAGCGTGTCTTCACTTCTACACTCTGCTTCCTTTGGCAAGACCTTCCAAAGCACAAACTAGCCAGGTATATTTCAGCCTGTAACATTGGCTAGCCGGGCCTCTGTTGACAACCCGCAACACTTAATTGAGTTAGATCCACACTTAACTCATGTTATCCTGAGAACAGATCCTCCTTAAGCCCAGGTGGATAGATTCAAAGCATGACTAAGTCCCAAGTCAACCCACAAGCTTTTTGAGGTCTAGTTCAACATCTGTCTCGTAAAACTGAAGACATCAAGGTGAAAAGCAGAAGGAAAAAAAACTACACAGGGGTCCTTTGTGCTCTCTGATCTTGGTTGTTTTCTTGCAGATGTTTCATTACCCAAATTAGCACTGATGAGGTTACCTAGTTGGGTCATGAAAGGTCTGCAGGAAAACAGCCAAGCTCAGAGAGCACCAAGGATCCCACAGTCCTACTCTTTACCTCCTCTCTGCAAGTCCTTCTCCCTTCTAGCACTGATGATGTTACCTAGTTGGGTCATGAAATGTCTGCAGGAAAACAACCAAGCTCAGAGAGCACCTAAGGACCCCATAGTTCAAATCTCTGAGCAAGTGGGGATCCTATTTATCTCCCCTCCCTTCTAGCACTGATGAGGTTACCTAGCTGGATCATGAAACACCTGCAAGAAAACAGCCAAGTTCAGAGGGCACCAAGGACCTCTCATTTCAACCCTGAGCTTCAGACATTCTCTTTGTTTGATAGACAAATATATATACACACAGAGAGAGACAGACACACAAACGTTACTTATTATCCGAGCACTGACATCAGTTTTTTCCCAGCCGCCTATTTGCATTCCTTCCAGACCTGTTGCATAATCTACAAAACAAGATTTTGGGTACCGCAACAACGACTCCTCCTTGTTGCAAGGATTGACCTCTTTTTTTGGGCAAACCCTCCCCCCACCACCACCAGCGTTCCTGGGGTTCCCCAGGGATCTCCCTGATTGGATCCCTCTTTATTTCCCCCCCCCCAAATTCGGGGGAAGTTGAATCAGAAACCGAGCTGGTCTTTCAAAGACAAATCCTCCCCGCCCCCAGATCGTTCTCCAAGACCCCAAATGCTTGGGGAGGAACCAAGGCGCCCCTGCGCGCAACAGGCGAGGCGATTGGAGAGCAGCGCTGCGCCTTTGCGCAGGGCCATCCCCGGCTTTGTCTCTTCCTCCCTCCCCCCCCGTCTTTATTCCCGGGTGGGGGGCGCCGTGCCCGTCCGGCCTCACCTGCGGGGGGCTCCTGCGCCCCTTCTCCCGCGCCCAGCAGCGCCCAGAGAAGCACCCAGCCGGGCAGAAAAAGCATGATGCCCAAAGCTCAGCCGGTTCTCCGAAGGAAACGAGGCAGGGAGGGCCACCCGCAGCCCTCCCCGCGCCTGGAGATCCCGCGGCTGCTCCGCTCGCCCAGCCAGAAGCCGCGCAGCCCTTGCCAAGCGCGCCCGGGGACGCCCACGTGCGTGGCCCCCTCCGCCGCCGCTGCTTTTCCGGGCTTTGCGCAGGGCGGGCGAGCGCTTTGCGCACGGGGGACGGACGGGGCGCAGCTGGTCCCTCCTCTCTGCGAGCCCGGCGCTCTGCCCGGCTGCTTTCTGCAGCGCCCCGGGAGGGACTTCGTTGGGGAATTGCGGCTTGCCGTGGGAGGAGGGAGGGTCTCCCTCCGTGGAGCCCCGGCGGGGTAGATCTCTGCGAGCGCTGCCTGCGCGGTGGGAAGGAGGAGGAGAAGGAGGAGATTAAACAGGAGAAGGAGAAGGTGAACTGGGGAAGAAGGAAGAGGAGGAGGAGATAAGCAGGAGGAGGAAAAAGAAAAAGAGAAGGTGAAGCGAAACCGAAGAAGAAGAAGAAGAAGAAGAAGAAGAAGAAGAAGAAGAAGAAGAAGAAGAAGAAGAAGAAGAAGAAGAAGAAGAAGAAGAAGAAGAAGAAGAAGAAGAAGAAGAAGAAGAAGAAGAAGAAGAAGAAAGATAAACAGGAGAAGAAAGAGAAGATAAACAGGAGAAGAGGAAAGAGAAGGAGGAGATAAACAGGAAGAGGAGAAAAAGAAGGAGAAAATAAACTGGAGAAGAAGAAGAAGGTAAGCAGGAGAAGAAAGAGAGAATAAATGGGAGAAGAAGAGAAGGAGGAATAAACAGAGAAAGAGAGGGAGAAGATAAACCGGAGACAGAGAAGGAGGAGAAGGAGATGATAAACAGGAGAAGAAGAGAAGGAGAAATAAACAGGAGTAGGAGAAAGAGAAAGATAAACCAGAGATAGAGAAGGAGATGATGAACAGAAGGAGAAGACCACCAGCATCAGCTGTATGTGAAAAATGCGGTCTTTCTGATCCACAGTTCTCCAAGCTCAATTTAAGTGTAGAAGCAATAGGAAGTGTTCAACTTATAGGCCAAATTTGAAGAAATTCTCTAACTCAGAAGACCCAATTCTGCCACCACAATAGGGTTCTGGATTAGTTCACAAGCCCAGTATTTTGAACCCAATGCATCTGCGGGCCGTGAGAAAGAGGAAGAAGAAAACACTTAAAACTAGTCAAGCAGAAACACTGTTATAAATGCAGCCATTAGGTTTTGGGTGGATTCCAGCAAAAAAGATAGGATCCCCACTTTTTTTTCACACCCAGGAATTCAACGTCTTTAAAAACCACAAAAAAACAACACCCCGCTTGATCTGACGTTTTGAGTTGGTTTAAAGATTTGTGAAATTTCTCTCCTTCCATTCGAACTTCAAGAATATCCATTATCTCCACCTGCAACTGTGAACTGAAGATCTTTGGGTTTTCAAGGTTCAAACAGACCCAGATTGGGGCTGAGTTAGGCTGAGGTTTCTCAGTTTTTGCAACTTTAAAGATGTGTGCTCTTCAACTCCCAGAATTCCCAGCTGGTTGAGAAACATTCATTTTAGGCGACAGAGATAATCTACAACTGTGTGTGCTAAATTATGGCTTGTGGTTACAACACCTTTCCCAGGCCGGTCTGTTGACTCAGCCAGAAATATTTTCCACTGGTTTATCTCCCAGTCTGAGTCTATGCACTTTCCCTAAATAAATCACACACCACCAGACTGTGATCACTAGCAAATAATTATGTAAAGCTTGCAATTGATAATTATTTTCCCGAGAGGACTTCTAGCTTTCTGTACCTAAAATCCAGCAGGTGAAACATTTTTTTCCTATCAGAATTAAAAATCAGATTATATATGCCCAAAGTGGTCAATGTCATGCAGGTTAATTAACCAGGGCTAGAAGTATATTATGCTTGATAATAAATTTTCTCTAAAGAAAATAAAAACCTCTTCCTCCTGCCCAGACTCTATAATAATTGGAGAGGCCTTTATAAATCTACATTATAAATGATTAAAAATGGTCTGGAGACCTTATTCAGCAAACTCTTTGTTACTTAAAATTAGTAAACAAACGTAAGTATAGCATGTCATTCATATTTTCTCAAAAGTAGTAGGAATGTATATTGGGATTAAAATTGGGATTTTTCTTAGAAATATATTTGCATAAAATCATTTCATTTCTCAGTACCAAAATACATTTATAGCGAAGAGAACAGCGATACCTCCTCCCGTCCACCAGAGGAGCACCACCCCTGCCATAGAGATCGAGAAAGGGCGGCATTGATTACGGCGACTTTATCTCGGAAACGAGCCGCCCAGAGAGGCAACGATGAAGCGTTGCCTAGCACCTTTCATGCCCGCTTCCGCATCCAATATAAAACGTGCCCATTGGCTGGTCGCTCTTCCTCGGAGTTTTCGGGAGAAAAATGGCGGACCGTCTAACGCAGCTGCAGGACGCCGTGAATTCGGTGAGTGGGAGCCCGGCGGGCTTGGGGGCCGAAGGCGAGCCCCGGTCCTGCTTCGGGCTGGGCCTTTGGAGGTGTAGACTACAACCCCCAGAATCCTTTGCTTTGGGGACGGGGGAATTCTGGGAGATGCTATCCTCCACATCCGGAGGTCCCTATTCTTTGAGAATGTAATAGCAGAATAAGCCCATTTATTTAACCTTGGCATCTGCTTCCCCCCCCCCACTCTCTTCTGAATTTGGAAATTATTACATTAAAATATTGTCATCCTGTATATTTATATTGCTTATTTTATTGTATATTTTTCCTTTGGTTTACCCTCCCTTCATTTTCTTTTTCAAAAATTATTATTGTAAGCCGCCTAAAGAACCCTATGGCGAGATAGGCTGCAAATAAATTTAACAAATAATAAAATAACATAAGACCATCTTTAATGTCATTTTTTACTGTTGAGCACACACAAACATTAAAAATGAAATTCTATTGCTTTCTATCTATCTGAACAGTGATTAATTGTGTGCGTGTGTGTATATATATATATATATATAATGTATGTATGTGTATATGTATGTGTGTATGTATATGTATATATATGTATATATATATATATATATATATATATATATATATATATGTATATGTATGTATATATATATGTATATATATGTATATGTATGGCTGTAGAGAGGGATATATATTTAAATAGGTAGAAATTATATCCTGTAGTTCAGTGGTTCTCAACCTGTGGGTCGGGACCCCATTTGGGGTCGAACGACCATTTCACGGGGGTCGCCAAACAAGGCTGTCCGCCATTTTTTTCCCTTTTCCCTAGCTGTCCTACCCTCTTATTGGTGGCCACACCCACTTGGGGGTCACCACAACATGGGGAACTGTATTATGGGGTCACGGCATTAGAAAGGTTGAGAACCACTGCTGTAGTTTCTATTCACACATTATTATTACACTGTAAAGTTTAATGGTTTATAAAATGTTATACATTTCACATTAGAACATCTTGTGGCGCAATCCATATTTAGGATTGCTAAAGATTTATTTAATGTTCTCTTCATGTTCCTAGTAAAACCAGGCTTATTTATGTAACTGCATTAAATAATTGCACAAGGAAGGCTATGATTATTTATTATTAAAGTCTTTAGCTTTAGTTTACAAATGTGGCTTTCCTCGGAATCGAGATCTATTACGATGCTCTGGTTTTGAAAGCTAACTATGTTACTACCTTGGTTTTATAGCTTGCAGATCAGTTCTGCAATGCCATTGGGGTGTTGCAGCAATGTGCGCCCCCGGCCTCCTTCAGCAACATACAGACTGCGATCAACAAAGATCAACCTGCTAATCCAACCGAAGGCAAGTCAGTTGTATCCTTTATCTCTTCTATTATACCCAAGTATTATTTCTCAATGGGGCAGTGAGCTCACATCCACCCAAGAGGAGATTCAGATGCCATGAATAAGGGTCTTTGAAGGTTTTCATAAGGATTGCTTGCTGCTTGAAAAAGAGACTTTTGCCTGGGCTTTCTTCTTTTCCTGTCAAATTACTTCATTTTTTTTTCATTCTTCCCTTCCTGTTTACCTTATTGCCTCTTCTTTCTTGTGTGTTGTTTTTGCTGGAAAGTAGTAGAGCAAGGGTGTAAAACTCAATTTCACTGAGGGCCGCATCAGCATTGTGGTTACCCTCAGGGGGCCGGGTGGGTGTGGCCAGGATGGGTGTGGCCTACTGGATGGGCGTGGATGGAATGGGTGTGGCCTACTGGGTGGGTGTGGCCAGTTCTACATCATTCGCGTCAAGGGTGCCTGTGGGGGCCTGGGCAGGAATGGGACAGATCTGAGGGTCTCTGGCAGAAGGGGGTGGGACCGGGGCAAGTGCCAAGGCATGGTCCACCAGGGCAAGTGCCAAGATGGCCACCACAAAATTGTACATTGGCTCCCGGCCGGCCTGGGCCAGGGCCAAGGCAGCGGGGGCCGTTCCCTCACTGTTTCCAGGATGGCTTCGTGGGCCACATGAAACCATTTTGCGGGCCGCATCCAGCCTTGTGTTTGACATGTCTGTAGTAGAGAAATGTACAGGAAGTTCTTGACTTACAACAGTTGATTTAGTGACCGCTCAAAGTTACAACAGCACTGAAAGAAAAGTGACTTATGACCGTTTTTTCACCCTCGCCACCGTTGCAGCATCTCCATGGTCATGTGATCAAAATTCAGACACTTGGCAACTGACTCGTAGTTGTGACGGTTGCAGCGTCCTGGGGTCACATGATCCCCTTTTGTGACTTTCTGACAAGCAGAGTCTATGAGGAAACCACATTCACTTTAACAGCCTTGTTACTATCTTAGCAACTGCAGTGATTCGCTTAACCACTGTGGCACAAATGGTCGTACAATGGGGCACAATTCACTTTACAACTGTTTCACTTAGCAACAAAAGTTGTGGGCTCAGTTGCGGTCGTAAGTCGAAGCCTACCTGTATATTTGTAATTATTTGGGGCAAAGGGAAGAAAGGATATGCCTGCACATAGGAATCAGTGTTATTGTCTTGGTTTTGCTCTTTTTTTTTTTTTTTTTTTTTTGGAGTGTGATATATGCATGCAGAAACTGTAGGCCAGTGTGTTACATGCACACATTAGTTCTCTCCCCAAACTTTGCCACACTTAGAACTGCTACTCACCACCTCCAAATTGTGCTTTGAAGCATACACTTGGTTCTCTCAATTGTCCAGAGCTGTTGGGAGTTAAGCAGCATGTACATTTAAATAATAATAATTAAACCAGATGCTTGTACTCTTATGATCTTTTTCTTTAAATTATTCAGAGATATGAAATCCCTTCTACATTCTAAATATATTATCCCACCGGGGGAGGGGGAGGAAATAACTCGGCAAATACCTCCTTATGTGTATGTAAGAAGTACATTTCATCTAAAGCAGTGGTGGCGAACCTATGGCACGGGTGCCAGAGGCGGCACTCAGAGCCTTCTCTGTGGGCACGCGCGCCCTCGCCCCAGTCCTAGGCCTTCAGCTGGGTTTTTTAAAACCTTTTCACTTTAGGCCTCCACCGCCATGTACAAAAAAAAGAAAGGTTCAATCAGTCAATTTCAACTTCTTGCAGGGAAAAAAAAGATCTTGCAAAGTTGGAATTGATTGATTGAACTTTTTAGTCCAACCCAGTCTGCCATTACCACTGCAGCCACTCCCACCCAATGGGCCACACCCACCCAATTGGCCACACCCAGCCAGTGGGTTTTGGGTTGCAGTTTGGGCACTCAGTCTCTAAAAAGTTCGCCATCACTGGTGTAAAATATTACTGAACAACATAGTTTTTATTCCTCCGTGATATGTGTGGTGCAAATTAATTTTTTTTACTGCTTTTGTAGAATATGCCCAGCTCTTTGCTGCATTAATTGCAAGAACAGCTAAGGATATTGATGTTTTAATAGATTCCTTGCCAAGTGAGGAGTCCACAGCTACATTACAGGTGGGAATTCACTATTCATACATTGTGTATTACCATATTCGTTCTAATCAGAGCATCAGAAAATGTTTGGGTGTTAATGCGTAGTTTTTGTTTGGCTGCAACATAAATTCATGCTTTTAAAGAGTCCTAGCAATTTACTACCAAGCTGGTTAGTTTCAGTGCAGCCCACTATGACTTTACTTAGCTGACAGAGTAGACAAAGCCAAAAGCAAATACGGAATGTACAATATAAATGGTGCAAAATGGTATCAATTTTGCTAAAATTTCACTTTTGGTAATGTCATTTTACACAATGGATACCACACACAATTATATATATGCACTACATGTCATTACATTAGGTGAGTCATCCAAGTACACATTTATGCTGCAACTTTATATTAAGTTTACACCTAAAGAACGGCTTGCATCCAAAATTTAGAATAGTGAAAATATTTATCTGGTTACTATTAAGGAAACAATAAACAGGAAGTAAAGAATCTGCCAGCATCTCTGCTCTTTGCAGAAGAGTTTTAGTTTTTAAAGTTGATTGCAATATCTTGCAAAATTGCGTGAATCCTGATATTTAGCTAATCTTCTCTTGTTTTAAATCTAGAAGTAAACTTGTGAGTTTATTGCAACATTTATTTAACTGAAAATACTTCTATTCCACCTCACTATGAACGTTAAACTAATAAAACTCAAAGATTGTAGCATTAAGCAAAAAGAACAAATGAACCCCCAAGCTAATCAGTGGGTACAATCCATGATTAAGAAAACATAATTAGATGAGTTTAAAAACAAAAACAATTAGTAATTCAAGAGCTTCAAAAACCTACAGGACATACTTAAATACTTATTGTTTCATTCTGAATTACACAAAGGTGAATTGTTGCAAAGTATGAAACAAAATTACTAATACAGAAGCTTTAAAAAAACCTACAGGACAGACTTAAATACATTTTGTCTCATTCCGAAGTATATAAACGTGCAATATTATAAAGTGTGAAAAACAAAAAAAGAGAAGCAACCTGGAATTAAGGAGAAATTTCCTGGCAGAACAATTAACCAGTGAAACAACCTGCCTCCAGAAGCTATGAATGCTCCAACAATGGAAGTTTTTAAGAAGAGACTGGACAGCCATTTGTCTGAAATGGTATAGGGTTTCTTGCCTGATCAGGGGGTTGAACTAGATGACCTCTAAGGTCCCTTCCAACTTTTATTATTATTATTATTATTAATAGTCATTAGTCAATTGCAAAAGGCGGCCTTACTAGGAACTGCTTCCATCCTGCGACGATATCTGTAATATCATCAAACATCCACATCTGCCTATCCCAGGTCCTGGGTAAGGACTCGATAAGTAGATAAAATGCCAAATCCAGTCTGAAGTCTGGCTGACTGTGTGATGATTAATAATAATAATAATAATAATAATAATAATAATAATAATAATATAACAATAATAATAATATAAAATTACTAATACAGAAGCTTTAAAAAAAACCTGAAAGACATTTTCTCTTATTTTGAATTATCTAAACGTGTGATGTTACGAAGTGTTACATCATCAAAAAGTGACATGCAGAAAAAGTATGACGGGATAACTGTTTCCTTTTTCCCTCTTTGAAGAAGACGCCCAGGGCAGTTTTAAAGTAGTCACCCCAAAGTCCTGTTCCCTCCACTTTTGAACCCCTAGGCTGCCAACTTGTACCGCTTGGAGGAGGAGAACCACGAGGCTGCCGCCCGTCTCGAAGAAGTGGTTTATCGCGGAGACTTGCTGTTGGAGAAAATACAGAGCGCCTTAGCCGACATTGCCCAGTCCCAATTAAAGACTCGGAGTGGCAGCTGTTACCAACCCCTCCCGGAGTAATTGGGGCACGCGGCAAGGCTCGGCCGTGACACCTGCTTTGCAGGTACGATTGGTGCAAAAGGAAGAGAACAAGCAACGAACACAACTCCCCTTCACACCTTAATGCCCTGAACTATTTATGAGACTCTGCTTACCGGATGCAACACTAGCCATACTTTTTCCGTGATACTCTGCCGGTTCCAGAAGATTTCCAGGAACTTCCGTTCCATGTGTTCGTTACATCTAAGCCTTACACTTTGATCGGCTTTATCAGTGGGCTGGAACACGTGGCCTCATGGTAAAGCTTCTCCTTGTGTCTTCATGCCAACAATGATGCAATACTTTATAGTAAATTTGCAAGGGGTAGAGAGGTGGTTTGGATGCTTGTTTCTCGCTGAAGATACCTGAATATTATTCGGAAGTTCTGTAGAAGGGGGAAAAAGCATTCTGGGAAACATTAAAGCAGTGTCAATTTGTATACAATTTCACTTAGAAATGTAATTATTAGGTATAGCGAATACATGTACAGTCTGCTTTGGAACTAGAATGAAAAGGTTCTGGAGAAACAGGAGTTCTCTTGCCTTTTCCACACAGCACGTAACTGGCTAAATTTGATGACAACAGAAGCTGAAATACTGAACTAACCAACTACTATTAAAAGGACTGTCTTTGTAGTACCGGGTTGACGTGAATAAAGGTTTGGTGTTGCATTGAGTAATCATGTTGTTTTTTTTTAAGTTCAGTTTAATACATTAAATGTGCCTGCATGCATGAGGGTATTTCAGTTAAATGTCTTCTTGGCCATCCAGATCATAGTTAACCCAAAGATGCTTTTTCACAAAGTAACCTGTCATGGTTCTGACAGATGAAACTCTTCAAAGAACTTCGAGGCATTGTTTACCTTAAAGAATCTTTGAGAAGCATAGCATCCGCGCTAACACAATCGAAGCCAAAAACTGAGTTCCCCTCCCCTGAGCACATAGTATCAAAGCACAATTCCCTCCTCCCATTAACCGTCATAAATCACATTCTCCAATTAGTTTGAAATGCGGGCTTCCCCTCCAGTTCTCCAGCCTGCCTATTCTTGTCATCTCTTATTTCAAAAACCTTGGTTCTCACACTAGGTTCAGTATTGTTATGTCTAGCACAACTCTCATGCACATTCCTCCCCCCTCCCAGCATTTATCTAACTCTAAAATCAAAAAGAAGAAAATGGTTGCATCTCCATCTGTTGTCAATGCAAAAACATCCGATGTTAGCAGCGTTGACGTCTGGGCTTTCTTATTTTTTACGTCTTCAAAGAAAAAACAAAGTCCAGTGGACTCGTGAAAAAGCATCTTTGGGGTATTTCAGTTAAATTTGGGGTTGTATAGAAATCAGATCTGGTCTCGGATGTGTCTTATTTTTTATTTCTTGGATTTATAAAAAAAAACAGATGAAACGGTGTGTGTTAAAATCAGATGAATGGGTTTGAAGGATTTGCTTACTGATCAGCTGCTTAAAGAAACCACAATGAAAATAGTACAAAGTCAGACAAAAGGGGGAAAAACAGCCCTTTAAAGTTCTGGGATTAATCTCTTCATCCAAATATTGAAGAACAAGGTAGCTGATGACATTTTTGTCGATATGTTCTATTATCAAGCCACATCATTAAGTGTATGATTCCGTGTGTTTTGTGAATTCAGGAAAATCAGGCTGACCAGGCAAGAGTTAAATTAGCACAAGAAGAAGCAAAATGATGAGAAGCAAAATGTTTTCAAAAAAGAAAACCGAGAAAGTCCAGTTGCCTTTTGGAAAAGCACCTTTGGGATATTTCACTCAAGGCCTCATAGGGAATATTCATATAAGGTACTTATCAGAACTCAGTCCTACCTAGGGGTGGTTTACCTGAGCTATGTTTACAGGACAAGGAATCAGGAAATGAAAATAAAGCTGAAATCAAGCCTAACTCTTGGTGATTTTAGGGTATATAGATTATTTTCTTTTTTTTTTTATTAAAAAGTTTTATAAATTTTACAGAAAATAAAAGACAATACAGAGACAAAAAAACAACATATACAAATAAAAAACAAACATTACCCAACAAAACCCCCCTTCCCCCTTCTTGAAAACAAGCTAAAGGTGGTTTAATATTGTTTCTTCCAAGAATTACTAGTGGGCTTCTATCTAAGTCCTAGGCAGATTTGACCTCTTTTTAGCATTTTAAGATTAGCTGCTACATCTTAACTACCGTAGCCATCCAAGTGTCATGGTTCTGACAGATGAAACTCTTCAAAAGAGTTAAAAAAATCTTTATTTGAGTAGCATAGCATCGGCACTAACACAATCGAAGCCAAAAACTGAGTTCCCCTCCCCTGAGCATATAGTATCAAAGCACAATTCCCTCCTCCGGTTGATAGTCATAAATCACATTCCCCAATTAGTTTGAAATCTAGGCTTCCCCTCCAGCTCTCCAGTCCGCCAATTCTTTATCGTCTCTTATTTCAATAACCTTGGTTCTCACACTAGGTTCAGTATTATTATGTCTAGCTAGACTCTCATGCACATTACCCCCCTCCCCAGCATCATCTAACTCTAAAAGCGAAAAGAAGAAAGTGGCTGCATCTCCATCTGTTGTCAATGCAAAAACATCTGATGTCAGCTGACACCAAGCTGTGTACAGGTTTGAGAAACACCGATTGAAACAAAGCCAAGTCCCAAATTCCTCCCTAATTTTGTCCAGGTTGAAAGCACAAGATACACTTTTGACGGAGGCTGATTTTGAAAACTCAAATGTTATTATAGAAAAAAGATTTGATCCACATCAGTGAGGCTCAAGGAATCTTTCTCTGGAAGGTTGAAAGACATTTTTCACTTCCACAATCAACCTCAGCTAGGCATCTTTTGATCTCCTGCTCGAAATCTCGATCTACAGTAAAGTTAAATCTTTCTGCCTTTAAAAGAAAAAAAAGAGAGAAATTTGTCAGACATTGGCTAGGTTCGGTCAAAATATTTAGTTCTAAACATTCAGTGAGGAATCATTTTTAAGGAACCCCCCCCTCCCCCAATCCTAGTTAACAACCATTTAGGTTGTATTGACTTGCTGTCCATACTATTTTAAAAAAAATACTTTTTAAAAAGAGAGCTAACAAGAGCCTAAGCTTCCTCCAGTACTTTTTGTGTGCTGTTTCAACTCCCTTGAGAGCTTAAAAAAGTAGTCAGAAAAATCAAATCAGGCAAGATTTGAAACAAGTGCCTACTTGTTTCAGCCCAAGAGGTCATCAGAGTGTCGCAACCCTGATTTAATTTAGCAGAGGCAAATTTTGCCTTGGTATTGTGTGTGAATGGAATGCCTGTGACTGAAACAGGTTCTCTTTTGTCACTGTTGATGGGACATTTCCAGTCTTTAAATCTGGAGTCTGGAAATCAGAAGCAACAAAAGACAAGGTTACGGTTAAGTCAACTTTTTCCAAAACGTGGTTACAAACTGCATCAAACACGTGCAGTATTAATACCACTTTACAATGCCTTGGTAAGGCTACACTTGGAATACTGCATCCAGTTTTGATCACCATGATGCAAAAAAGATGTTGAGACTCTAGAAAGAGTACAGAGAAGAGCAACAAAGATGATTAGGGGACTGGAGGACATGATAGCAGTGTTCCAATTTCAGGGGCTGCCATAAAGAAGAGGAAATCAAGCTATTTTCCAAAGCGCCTGAAGGCAGGACAAGAAGCAATGGGTGGAAACTAATCAAGGAGAGAAGCAACCTAGAACTACGGAGAAACTTCCTGACAGTTAGAACAATTAACCAGTGGAACAACCTGCCTCCAGAAGTTGTGAATGCTCCAACACTGGAAGTTTTTAAGAGAGACTGGACAACCATTTTTTAAAAATGGTCTAGGGTTTCCTGCTTGAGCAAGGGGTTGGACTAGATGACCTCCAAGTTCCC